GTGTCAATGGAGGGAATATTTCCCCCTTAACTTAAGGTATAGGAGAAAATACGGAATTGCGGCACTGAACGGCTTGACCTATGCTCTTAATATTTGGTGCATAGTCTGATGGGCAGGAAACTCATCACCTGTGCCGAAATTGGAGGTCACAGGTCAAAGGGCAGTGGGGGAAAGGTCAGATATCAGACATTTTCTGAGGACATGGCCTAATGGACAGAGTCAAAAACATTTTTGTTTCAGTGCTGACCTACTATTTTTATCACTTTATTGAAAGGACCATTAAATGTGCTTTCCACTGATGTGCGAAGAGTAAGTGTCTGATAACCTTTTGACCCTCATGAGGAGGGTTAAACATGGATTCCTGAACTGCCTCAATGATGTCACATTGTTCTCATATTCATGGCACATCCATAATCTGGAAAGCCAATATGCCCTGATAGCCCAACGGGTACAGCACAAGATTACGGCTCAAACGTCCTTGGATCTTTATCCATTTAACTATTTTTTTCCAATTAACGCAAATAATTACATGATTTATTTACAACAATTTAATAACAACAAATAATTGTATTCCCCGCGACGAAGTCGGCAAGGATACTATGGTTTCATGTCTCCCCAGCCGCCGCCGCCGCTCGGTCCGCCGTAGAGAATTTTCCTTCTGCTCTATAACTCGACCCCTAATTGACCTAGCATGACCAAACTTGGTATACTTACACATCTTGGGGAGAAGGTGTGCAGAGTACCAAAACCAGGTCACTTTGACCATTATTTGACCTTTACCTTGACCTTGATCATATTTCCCTTCCGCTCTCTAATTCGGCCCCTAATTGACCTAGCGCTACTAAACTTGGTATACTTACACATCTTGGGGAGAAGGTGTGCAGAGTACTAAAACCAGGTCACTGCGACCTTTATTTGACCTTTACCTTGACCTTGTTCATATTTCCCTTCCGCTCTCTAACTCGGCCACTAATTGACCTAGCGCTACCAAACTTGGTATACTTACACATCTTGGGGAGAAGGTGAGCAGCGAACCAAAACCAGGTTACTGCGACCTTTATTTGACCTTTCCCTTGACCTTGATCATATTTCTCTTCCGCTCTATAACTCGGCCCCTAATTGACCTAGCGCTACCAAACTTGGTATACTTACACATCTTGGGGAGAAGGTGAGCAGCGTACTAAAACCAGGTCACTACGACCTTTATTTGACCTTTACTTTTACCTTGATCATATTTCCCTTCCACTCTGTAACTCGGCCCCTAATTGACCTAGCGCTACCAAACTTGGTATACTTACACATCTTGGGGAGAAGGTGTGCCGCATACCAAAACGAGGTCACTGCATATAGGGATAAAATTTGAGTAAACGTGAAACTATAATGTATACTCACTATTAATAATGATTGTGTTGTTAATCACGAACGTTTGCATATATGTGTCCACCGTAAAACAGCAGTGACTAACCCTGTTCATTGACAAACCTCTGCAGAGGACTCGTACGGGCATGACGAGCTCGCTTGGACGCACTAGGCAGGGATCTGCTGAGGGAGTGAGACCCATGACGGCTGTCCGTGCCGTCGGTTTTACGTCTGCAGGAAATAGGAACACGCGTACGTATCTCCGGCTGTATCGGGACTAGATGTTGGTGTAGAGTCATACCTTTATGTCAGGGTGATTCAAAGAAAAATTATGAATGTGCTCTTTATAGACTGCTATCTGTGCTTTAAGTTTGCGCTAGTATATAAGTTTGAGAGTAGGTGATTGTAAGTAGCCAAACTTGAGTAGCTAACCAGCCATTCGTCAGTGATGTGAGATTTAGGTTATCTAAACTGATTCCTTGGATTAGTGTGAGGTAAGCTTTTTTTACTTGAAAAGTTCAATGGTTAGTCACTTCAGAAGTTTATAATAGAGAAGTCTGTATTGTCATTGATTGTGAACCTATGATTGCATGTATGTGAATATATTGTGTGAAGAGAATTGGCAAGAAAGTGGTTGATAATTGCTTGTACCTTTACAATGTGATACAGTTACAGCCGGTGGATCCTTCGACCCCCTCGGAGAAACTGCATCTAGAGGTCCACCTCCACTTGAGAAGAAACTGGATGACAGGTAAAGTAAGAGAGTGCGCTTATCATATGTACCACTGTAGTAGGTGTAGTTTCTAAGTATCTTAAATAAGATTGTTTTCAGATGAGTGAGGACAAAGTAAACGATTTTCCTAATGGTGGAAGTGTATATGTTTTGTTTTGCATGTGTTAGTTTATGGCAAGTATGATTGTAATTGAAGCTCTACAAATGTACATACTCTGTATTGTATTTTTGCTTGTGCTGCTAAAATAAACTGGTCTGCCCATACATTGCAGTCCGGAAGATAAAATCAAGAAGATGGAAAAGAGAGTCATGGATTTAGTGGAAGAGAGTCAGTTTGCAAACAGCACTGGTGACCTTGTTCAGGTATTATCTTTATTCTCTTTCCAAACCAAAAACATTTCCCATGTGTTGCTGAAAATGGGTCGCTTATCGATGTTTACATAATGAATCTAAATTAAAAACTGAATGTAGTATACTTTCCTCTTCTGACCACGCAACCATTATAGGAGTCTCAGTCCCATGACAAATGCGATTATGCATGATATAGTGAGCACACTGATGTTCAAGCACGTTGGAATCATACACTGCTCGAATTAGTCCTCACTGTAATAGCCCGCCTGCTTTGTTCCCTCTTGCCCCTCCCTGTCAAAGTCACTGAAACCCTCGTGCAATATATCCGCTCGAAGTCTAACCCGTTTTTCTCCCGCTGATCCTGCCTTCCATTCCCCGCTCGCTACCTCCCAGGCGCTGAGAAAGGCCAGGAGTGCCGGGACAGAGGAGAAGCGACTTTACGCCTGCGCACTGCAATCCCGACCTCCTCCCAATCCTGATGACATCGAGACCGAATCCTCGGACCCGCCTCACCCTCACCCAGACATTGCTTTCTACGTGAGTAGCTAGCGTCGTATCGCGACGCTCCACGCTACTCCACGCTGGATCGGGATGCGTCATCGGGGGTGCAACACACAAGGTGGAAGCACGACGATCGAGGTTGTCGGGTGCCAAATCGCGGCTCGAATTTCGGTAAAAATTAAACGTTGACCCTCCCCCCCAAACACACACACACACAACACACACACACACACACCACCATCAACACCACACCACACACCTGAGGGGGGCCCTGGTTGCCTTCCGAAAAAAAATATAGAGTGCATTTTTGTGTGCATATTTGCGGGAGCTGGTTTTCTAGTCACGCGCTGAGATTTGCAATGTCGACCAGTCGTCTTTCACCGTCGCGGTGTTCGGCCCGTGACGACGTCCTGATCCAGTGCTGGGAGAGCTGGGGCATGGCAGCCTTTTGGAATGTGTTAGTGATGTTGATTTGCAGGGTCTAGAGAAGGCAAAACATGCAGGGCGTCAGGAGAGACAGCTGGTGAGGCAACGTGAGCAGACGGGAAATGCAAACCAAGAGAGTAACATGAATTTGGATTTGACGTACACTGTGAGTCTGCAGCTGTGATGTGTACGTTTGTGCATGTGTGCGTGCGTGTGTGCGTGTGTGCATGCGTACGTGCGTGTGTGCAAGTATATATGGAGACAATATACATTTCTGCAAGAAATTCCTCTGCACAAGAGTTCTGCATTCTGATAAAATCTCTTGAGATGCTTTTTAAGTTGCTTGGTTAAGTATACAGAGTAAGTATGTTACATTCTTTGGAGTAGATGATAACTTGGCATTGATATGTTACCTGCTGTACATTGCCCCATAATATGATTTTAAAACGTTAAAAGCAGTATTGTATTCATTGTTTTTGGATTGTGTGGTGTGTGCATTCCTTTTGAGCAAGTCACAGGGACTTCTGCTAATGTCAAATCAGAGTAAAATGACGTATGTGATTGTGTGCTTGCATTAATTTTATCCCCTGATGTAATGTCTAGATGGTGTGTTGCAGGTGCTGTTTAATCTTGCCTGCCAGTATGTGGCCAGCGAAATGTGGACTGAAGCTCTTAGTACCTTTCACGTCATAATCAAGAATAGAATGTTTAGTAATGCCGGTATGAAATAAAGAATCCGCACGCTTACCTACCTGTGATATTCTTCCTGCTTCGTTATTTTACAGACAGCCATAAATGATTTATACAGACTTGGATGTTGAAATGTGTTACTTAGATGGGGTAATGAATTTTGAGTCATGGTAAATGTGTTGTGAGGTAAATTAAAAAAAAACACCAGTAAATGTGTGCAAGTTAACAGTAAACGTTATGTAAAAAGTGTAGAGTTGTACGGTACCATGTAGTACACATATGTTGGGTTGTGAGGTCACTAATGCTTTTTTCACAAAAATATTGTAGTTTGTCTTACATTAAAGCCGCAATATGCGCATCCAAACGCTAATTTCTCCAGTACTAGACTAGCAAATACTTTGTGTCATGCACAATCACACTACCTTATGACAAAATTAACTCTAGTTCCTCCCATTTCACTGCGCGTTTGCTTAAAACCCACAAGAAAGAGGTGCGAAATCTGGCAATCTGGCGCCAACGCCGAATTGTTTGCCAAACAATTTAGCCCTGAATCGGTTAGGTGACGTCACATGTTGCTACGGGTTGCACCCGCTGTACAGTTGCTTGGCAGAGCAACGCGAACGTGTCAACAAATCCGAGAATTTGAACAACATTGGAGGTATTTTCAAATGCCTTTTATAAGACAACGTGCAGTGAAATGGGAGGACAAAATGCAGTGAAAGGTAGTGTGATTATGCATGACACGAAGTATTTGCTAGTCTAGTACTGGAGAAATTTGCATTTGGTTGCGCATATTGCGGCTTTAACTAGGCAGTAGACTGTAGTATGAATAATTGAATATGTCACATTTATTTGATTGCAGGAAGACTGAAAGTCAACATTGGGAACATCTATTTCAAACAGAAAGATTACCCGAAAGCCATCAAGTATTATAGAATGGCATTGGATCAGATTCCCACATCACACAAGGATGTCAGGTGCTTATGTTAACACTTTTACTGCACTTCATTTTAGATTCTTAAAGGTATCTCCCCTCGAACTTTCAAGCGGCAAACACAAAATCAGGCAAACATGAATTATTTTAACATTGCACGTTTGTACTTGCCTATATATGTGTGATAGGTAAAAAAAATTGCTTGGGAATACGTTTATTCGAAGCTTTTAGACTACAAAGCTAAACGTTTGGGTCGAATGTTTCCCAGCGTTTACTTTTGCCGCTATGTGGCGATTGTTCCGCACTGCGCACTGGCCGTGTTATGTTTGTATGAACCATGCTATGTAAAATTATACACACCAGTTGGCATGTTATGACTCAATGGTTTTTCTGGTCACGTACATGGCTAGCTGATAGGGAAAGGGCAACGTTTTTGTTGCTGGGAGATTATAGTATTCTGAGCAGTTAACAAGTGAGTGAGTCGAGAGTCCTGTCAGGTCGCTGTTGGTTCGGATTACGTTTTGTTGGGTTTTTAGCTCATCTGACAAAGTCAGATGCAGCTTGTAGAATCGCATGATCGTCCGTCCGTCCGGCCGTCCGTCCGTCCGTCCGTCAAATCTTAACCGCTAGACGTACGGTCACGATATTCGGGACGTGGGGGGGTAATCCGAAAACGAGTTGGGATGTCGAAGCTGGGTTGTTCAGCGTTGTGTCGCTTAATTTCTAGTGAAATAAAAACTTCATTTAAGGAAAACTAAGTTCTTTCCTTTAGTTGTCACTGCAGCCAATCGGGGCGGGCGCTACCGGGCGATCGGGATTTTGTGAATCGTCTACAATTGATTGAATCGGCACAAAACCGCGAAACTTCTGTGTTTTTGAAGTGCAGATTAATAGACTTGCTGACTTATCGGCCACGGTTAGTTTTACATAGTTTGTTCAGTGGACTATAGAGGCAAGAACGAGCCCCAAGATGGAGGTTGTAGAGGACCGTTAAATTTGTGAAATGTGAAAGAATCGAGAAAGTGATCGTCGAAATTGCGCAAACGAGTTTCCTACCTTCTCTATACTATATAATATGATTATCATGGCGACACAGCACAACACGCAGCGGCGAGTGCCGGAGCGTTCGCGTTAGTTTTATGAAGGGAAAGTGATAGTACAGTGACACAACAGTGGAACTGTAATGAGGAGGGTATGGTAGTAGGCCTATTTGTGAATGTGAGGTCATTATCATATTTATTTTCAGTTTTTTACTGACTCTGTCCCAAGGTGCCTGTCACACACAACACACACACACGACACACCACACCACCACACACACACACACACCACACACAAACACACACACACACACACACACACACACACACACAACACACACACACACACACAGCATACTAATTATACTAAAGATTAACTATTAGTAATAGTGTTACTATTAATATATCATTATCAAGTATCAGTACTTCATGTGAAATCATGCACTTGTGCATCGCAACGCAGGGCTGTAGTACTTACTAGTACTAGTAAGTTAGTATTGGCTCGTAGGGTCTAATGTCGCCTGGACGCTTGTTTGACCTGGTCGTTTGCTATTTCTGACTACCCTAACCCTAACCCTAAACCTTACCACTACCAGGGTTAGGCGTTAGTCAGAATAGGCTAAACGAGCCAGGGTTAACAAGCAGGTCAAGGGAGACTATAGACCTGTCATCTGCCAGTAGTATGGCCCTTGTATTGGCAATAAAATTTACAAGTTTAATTAATCGATTATTGATAGCATACACAGTACAGTCGTACAGTACTTGAATGATTTGATTGTAACATGTTTACTGATCTCTTTCCATGTTATTGATACTGGCGCACAGCTCTATAAAGAGACGATGGAGAATGTACACCTGTGCAGATGATGAAGATGACCTCTACTCTTGGTTCAATACTTCATAACCCATCCTGCACTTGGCCCAACAAATGAATTAGAGCACGATGAAGGTTTCCAGCAGGCGGTGAAAATCAAGCCATGGAGACGCACGCCGACCTCCAAGTTGTTAGTATATGTATTCTAAACAGGCAGGAGCGACCGGCGCAAATATTTTACATTTATTGCTTCTACCCATTTTACCTATCAACCACATGTGTGGTAGCCCTATGCATTATGTCTTATCTCCAGGGTTTCTTCTGAGGGGAAAATTAGACAAAGGAAGTAATGGCCGTTTGGGGGAAAAAACGCTCATGAATGGATTTCAAATTACAGGATGTTTGATATAACTTATAGGTAACTGCTGTATTACGGGATGAATTCTTCCGCGATCGCGGAAGAATCCGCGGATTTGACAGTCCTCTGGGGTCGATTTTGTGAACTTCTAATTCGTTGAGAAAATTGGGCAGCGGGGTAACAAATGTAACAATTTAAATTATATACCGCAGCTCCAACAGCACACTGACTTGTAGACTGTAGAGTGTAGACAATAGGCTGACAGCGAGTATTACAGCTGTATCTGTTTTTGGTACCAGAAAGAAAATCCTCGTTCCACGAGCTGCAGTAGAGGGCAAACATCTGAGGTAGGCTGATCACGTAACGACCATGCTGGCCTGGGGCCGGTTTACATGTGCTGCGTGCATTGTTGTGTGGCATGAGATGCACTGATTGTTCCATTGCATTGTGTTTTTTTCATTTTAATCTTCTCGCAAGCAAGGCCAGCTATGTCTGAGTAAAACTAATGCAAGGAAGCGGGTGGAAACAGAAAAAGAATATTAGGCGCGGCTTCATTACACAAGAAAACCGCGCGCCTCAGCCCGCTAATAGTCGGAGATAATAGTGAGCTAATTGTGTTCGTTGTTCAACACAGGCATATCTGCGCTAATTCGGCGCGGCTCCAAATATTAGCGCCGCGGTGCAAATAAGTGAGCTGATTCAAATTAAGCATCAGAAGTGGTCCTTAAAGGCCGGACACACCTAGGCCGAGTGCCATTCGCGCATGATCGGCCGATTCTTCATCGGCGATGGCATCAGCTGTGAAAATCGCCTGTGTGTCTCACTCAAATCGCCGCCGATTTCATCGGCCGATGCGCGTCGGCCGATTGCATCGCCCTGGCATCGCACAGATCAAAACGTTTTTGATATTATCGCCCGATGGCTCGGGCCTGGCATCGGCCTGCCATCGGCCCTGGCATCGGCACTCGCTGGTGTGTCCACGACTGCCCGATGGCCAGCCGGCGATGCCAGCCGATTTTACAATCATCAGCATCACAGTTGTTCAATGATATGACTTTCTCTCTCTCTCTCTCTCGGCACTGCGGCGCGCAAGAATTCGGCCGATGGATCGGCCGATGGCATCCCTGTGTGTCACGACTGCGCGATTGTCATCGGCCGATGATCGGCCGATGGCATCTGCCTGGTGATGTTCCACAGACTGCGCCGATGCCATTCGGCCTGATGGCACGCCCGATTGCATCGGCCGATGGCGATCGCGCGATGGCAATCGCCCTGGCATCGCCTGTGTGTCCGCCCTTTTAGGAGGCGGGCTATTTGGAGGCGGCGATTTAGTGAGCTATTGCGTTCACGACTTGTAAAAAGCCTCAGGTTTTTCGAGCGAGCTACAAAAACCGGGTTTGCCAGCCCGCTAATTCGCAGCCAGTGTGAACGACCTTTATGTCTAAGACATGTTATATATATAATTTGCCCTATTTCGCAGCCGGCCCTGCATTTCCTATTTAGTTTGTTTGCTTCCTTTTGACAACATATGAAAAGGTGATTCAAGAGTCTCTATAAATGTGTTCAGAATAGCTTAGAATGCCACCAAATTGACCATTCTTTTAAAAAAATTCCGGGGAGCATGCCCCGGACCCCCTAGCAGTGGCGATCACCTAACGATCTTCGCATTGCCGCCCTCTGTTTGCTAATTAAAATTTCAGCTGCAAATTAAATTATCCAATCTCATCCCTGTATATACAGGATATACTTATCAGTAAATACTGGAACATTTTCACAATGCAATGTTAAATTTGACAATGGCGGTGTGCACCCTGTATCTTGTGTTTAGATGGCATCAGTGAGGACTGGATCAGGAAGACTCGGGACAAGTGCAGGGTTGGTATTACTAGTTTTGTTGTTATATTACTAGTCGTTATTATCAAACGTTTATTGTTAACATTTATTAGTGTGCACATCCCATGTCCTGTAAATAGATTCGTGAAGCTTACACTCAGAAATTTTTATAAAACTGCAAACACTTGCATGCACATGGAGCCTATTATATGTAATCTATGGACAGTAATTACTTGCCTTTCATTATATACTGTTGTGTATTTGGATCTGTGATTGGGCATAATTGTATAATTTAGATTGCACAGGATCAAAATTCATGATTATAGGGTAAAATTGTTTAAACGTGAAACTATAATGTATACTCACTATTAATAATGATTGTGTTGTTAATCACGAACGTTTGCATAGTATGTGTCCACCGTAAAACAGCAGTGACTTAACCCTGTTCTTTGACAAACCTCTGCAGAGACTCGTACGGGCATGACGAGCTCGCTGGGACGCACTAGGCAGGGATCTGCTGAGGGAGTGAGACCCATGACGGCTGTCCGCGCCGTCGGTTTTACGTCTGCGGGAAATAGGAACACGCGTACGTATCTCCGGCTGTATCGGGGACTAGATGTTGGTGTAAGAGTCATACCGTTTATGTCAGGGTGATTCGAAGAAAAATTATGAATGTGCTCTTTATAGACTGCTATCCTGTGCTTTAAAGTTTGCCGTGTTAATATAAGTTTGAGAGTAGGTGATTGTAAGTAGCCAAACTTGAGTAGCTAACCAGCCATTCGTCAGTGATGTGAGATTTAGGTTATCTAAACTGATTCCTTGGATTAGTGTGAGTAAGCTTTTTTTACTTGAAAAGTTCAATGGTAGTCACTTCAGAGTTTATAATAGAGAAGTCTGTATTGTCATTGATTGTGAACCTATGATTGCATGTATGTGAATATATTGTGTGAAGAGAATTGGCAAGAAAGTGGTTGATAATTGGCTTGTACCTTTACAATGTGATACAGTTACAGCGTGGATCCTTTCGACCCCCCGAGAAACTGCATCTAGAGGTCCACCTCCACTGAGAAGAAACTGGATGACAGGTAAAGTAAGAGAGTGCGCCTTATCATATGTACCACTGTAAGTAGGTTAGTTTCTAAGTATCTTAAATAGATTGTTTTCAGATGAGTGAGGACAAAGTAAACGATTTTCCTAATGGTGGAAGTGTAATATGTTTTGTTTTGCATGTGTTAGTTTATGGCAATATGATTGTAATTGAAGCTCTACAAATGTACGTACTCTGTATTGTATTTTTGCTTGTGCTGCTTAAATAAACTGTCTGCCCATACATTGCAGTCCGGAAGATAAAATCAAGAAGATGGAAAAGAGAGTCATGGATTAGTGGAAGAGAGTCAGTTTGCAAACAGCCACTGGTGACCTTTGTTCAGGTATTATCTTTATTCTCTTTCCAAACGCAAAAACATTTCCCAGGTGTTGCTGAAAATGGGTCGCTTATCGATGTTTACATAATGAATCTAAATTAAAAACTGAATGTAGTATACTTTCCTCTTCTGACCACGCAACCATTATAGGAGTCTCAGTCCCATGACAAATGCGATTATGCATGATATAGTGAGCACACTGATGTTCAAGCACGTTGGAATCATACACTGCTCGAATTAGTCCTCACTGTAATAGCCCGCCTGCTTTGTTCCCTCTTGCCCTCCCTGTCAAAGTCACTGAAACCCTCGTGCAATATAACGCCTCGAAGTCTAACCCGTTTTTCTCCCGCTGATCCTGCCTTCCATTCCCCGCTCGCTACCTCCCAGGCGCTGAGAAAGGCCAGAGTGCCGGGACAGAGGAGAAGCGACTTTACGCCTGCGCACTGCAATCCCGACCTCCTCCCAATCCTGACGACATCGAGACCGAATCCTCGGACCGCCTCACCCTCACCCAGACATTGCTTTCTGACGTGAGTAGCATAGCGTCGTATCGCGACGCTCCACGCTACTCCACGCTGGATCGGGATGCGTCGTCGGGGGCGCAACACACAAGGTGGAAGCACGACGATCGAGGTTGTCGGGTGCCAAATCCGGCTCGAATTTCGGTAAAAATTAAACGTTGACCCTCCCCCCCAAACACACACAACACAACACACACACACACCACACCACCATCAACACACACCCCATTACCTCGTGGTGGGAGACCGCCTCTCTGGATGGGTCGAAATTTTTGCGTCCCCGGTGGGATCGCCACGGGCAGGAGCTATGGGCCTCATTGCAAGTCTTCGCACATTCTTTGCGACATTTGGGGTGCCGGAGGAGTTATCCAGCGACGGAGGGCCGGAATTCACCGCCAGCGCCACTCGCGACTTCCTCTACCGCTGGGGCATCAGCCACCGAGTCTCATCCGCTCACCACCCTCAGTCGAATGGGCGGGCGGAGGTGGCCGTGAAGTCAGCAAAGCGTCTCCTACGGTCAAATGTTGGTCCGACAGGCGTGTTAGACAATGACAGGTTGCTACGTGCGCTGCTGCAGCTCCGCAACACCCCGGATCCGGACTGCAACGTTTCACCGGCCCAGATCGTCTTTGGGAAACAGCTGCGTGACTCATTCTCTTTCGTGAACCGCCTGGAGAAGTACTCGAACCCTTTTGTCCGCCCGGAATGGCAAGAGGCATGGCACTCGAAGGAGGTCGCGCTACAAGCGAGATTTGTGAAGTCGTCTGAGAGCCTGAATGAGCATGTGCGCCCCCTGCGTCCCATACATGACGGCGACATGTGCTTCATCCAGAATCAAGTGGGGAACTCGCCAAAGCGATGGGACCGCACCGGCACGGTCGTCGAGGCTCTTGGCCACGACCAATACCGCATGAAAGTGGACGGGTCCGGGCGCCTCACCACACGGAACCGGAAGTTCCTTCGAGCATTTGTTCCGGCTTCTACCGAGATCCAGGAACGGGCCCATGCAGGACCGTCTATGCCGTCGCTGGCACCACCAGCTCTCAAACCGCCAGATGCTGCCCTGCCTCGTCCTGGCCTTCCATACGCTGCCCCACGCGATCCGTGCACGGACACGCCTTGTGTTGCGCCGCCGAGTTCTTCAGCGCCACATGAAAGGCCGACAGATGACGATCTCCCAGCAGCCACTCTATCGCTGCCTACCCTGGCCCCTGCATCGCCTCCACATGGTCAGCCGCCGCCACTCAGCGATGCTTCGCCTCCCGCGCCATCACTGCGCCCTCGCCGTGCGATTCGCCAGCCTCGCCTCTATGAACCTGAGACCGGCCGCTGGATTTCTTCTTGAGTTCGCCGCGTTGCCCCCTCGAACTGGGGGGGATGTACAGTTATGATATTGTTCATTTAGTTATACTAACGGAGAGAAAGAACTCTGACAGTTATCGTTATACTGTATTGACATTAGTTCCCTTTCATATATATATATATATATACATATAACATCATTACTACTGACTCGAGTTGTATTGTACCATGTGCTTGTTTAATGGCCATTTAATTCATTTCTTCTTTTATTATTCATAACTTGCCTCAACGGAAGGGTATGTTACATGGTGCCTCTTATTGGCATTTCTAGGATGCGAATAATGCAGAACATAGGAATTGTGTTTGTGAAGATGGGGCAGTTCCAAGATGCTATAACTTCTTTTGAGCACATCATGAGTGAGAGACCAGACTTCAAAACAGGTAAATTTCCTCAGTGCTTCGTTTACGTCATAAGAAATTGGGCAAGATTTGCTACTGATAATGCATGCTTGTGTTAGAATATCTCTCCAATATTGATTAGGTAATTATATCAGGGCTTGAATTTTCCCCTCAGCACTGACAGCAATTCAGATGTGGTTGGGCGCCAATATCCATGGCACTAAGCCACGTGCCCTTCTCATAAATCAAGTGTTGTGTATTTATCCTTTTTTCACCCACATAAAAAGTGTTGTTAAAAAATAACTGATCTTAATTTAATAAGTTAACCCTTCTTTCAAAGGAATACTTGGCCTTGGTGCTGCTCCAACGTGTCATGGTGCCCTAACATGTCTAATTATGCCAAAGGCAACGTATTCAACATATGCCTTACCTTGAAAAATTCTACTCTATTATATCGTTCGGTTTTCTAGCATTACATATATCTCGGGTTAAGAGACAGTACATACTTCATTATGATACTGCTTGAAATGCTGGTATAATCTTGAATATTAGTATAGAATGTGAATGTTATATTTTAGGATTCAACCTTCTGCTCTGTTATTATGCTCTGAATGATAAAGACAAAATGAAAAAGGCATTTCTCAAGTTGTTACAGACTGAGCTAAGTATGGATGATGAAGACAAGTATCTGCCTTCTGTGAGTGTTTACAGTATCAGAGCCACGAATGCATAGAATTCTTATTCCAATTACCTGTAGAGGAATGTGGAAGCATGCTTAAACTTATATTGTCCTCCAAATCACTGTTTTTTTTTACATTATGTAAAGATGGAAACATGGTTAAACACGGAAACTTGTTCTTAGTCATGAATTAACTTGTCATTGTCCCGTCTATGGTAGACCAATCTGATAACAATGGACCGGTGCTGTCCATACCTGAAGGTAAACATCTCATACATCCCCCCCCACCCCCAATCTACTGTCAAACTTGTCTGAGCAGACACATCTATATAACAGACATCTGGCTATAATCTGTATACGTCTGACTATACTTCGTGTTTAATTTCAGTGGTAGTTGTAGTAAAGTGAATGTACTTCTATAAAATGGCTACGTGTCTGTAAATGACACCTTTGGTGTTTGCCTTAAGTGACCCTTACATACCGGTTTGAATTTAAATCTATCTGACAACCAACATACCCGATGCATGCTGTAGGAAGATGCACACTCGAATCTCATCCTGGAAGCCATAAAGAATGATTCATTGAGGAAGATAGAGAGGCAGAAGAGGTTGGAAGCCGAAAGGTGTGTCATCACAGCAGCTAAGATCATCAGCCCTAGCATTGATGTAAACTTCACGGCTGGCTATGACTGGTGTGTGGAACAAGTAAGTCTAAATGTGTGCCAGCTTGTCATAGATAGCTTTCTGTTACATTTTACTGTCTTCAGCTCATCCTGTATTGACTAGTGCTGCACTCTCACGGACAGCTAGAAAACATATTTGGAATGTAGAACATGTATTCCAGCAAAACAGTTGCATTGTAAGAATTACTAAGTCTCTGTTATATGCAAATTGTATTTATATTGCATCATTGTCTTCATTGCCTTTAATGCCGGAAGTTTGTTCATTGTTCTTGTCTTCTTTTACCGACCAGGTTAAGGCATCTAATCACGCTGAATTGGCACATAATCTTGACATCAACAAAGCCATTGCCTACCTCAAGCAGAAAGACTTCAACAAGGCTGTTGATACATTGAAGGGCTTCGAGAGAAAGGACTCTAAACTTGCAGTTCACGCAGCAACAAATCTATCATTCCTTTACTTTTTGGTATGTATTAATAATTATCATTCAATGAATGATCCATGTCAAATTTCTTTCATTATATAGTGGCAATTATGTTATAACATTTTTCGTTTGTTTCTCAATAATGAAAAGGAGAAAAAATGTTACCTCATTTAATTGTAACTATAAACTTGAAGAACTTGGAGTGGGTATATTGGTATAGAAGTTTGAGGTAAATATAAATAATTCAGATGTAATTGATTTAATGTCTCGATAGCAGTATAGCAATTTACTTTGTTGAAAACATTCCTGCTATTGCAAAGAACCTACTTTCTGAGGAGGGTGTTTCGTTCAGCTAATAACATATAGCAGGTATTTATACAGAAAGCATCCATTTTGGTTTACCAGTTGTCTGTATTTGAGTACAATTATGTACTTTCAGCAAAAAGAGTATGCAATGGCAGACAAGTATGCTGAAATTGCACTGACAGGAGACCGCTATAACCCCAGCGGTAAGCCATGCTTTATTTCTCTCTCTCTCTCTCTCTCTCTCTTTCTCTCTTTTCTCTCTCTCTCTCTCTCTCTCTTTCTCTTTCTCTCTCTCTTCTCTCTTTCTCTCTTTTCTCTCTCTCTCTCTTTCTCTTTCTCTTTCTCTCTCTCTTCTCTCTTTCTCTCCCTCTCTCTAATTCTCGCCGTGTCTTTCTCCATATTTACATATAATATATATACATGTGTTTGTGTGTGTGTGCGTGTGCATGTGAGCATGTGCAGGCATGTACTTCAATAACTAAGTTTCCCAAAACACAGGCACACTTTTATTTAATAGTTTGTGCAATGTACCATATCGTTATACGTATCAGTAAGTATCGTATTGTGGACTATAGGCGTATCATTACATTTCTAACATGTATATGTATGTGTGTGTGTGTGTGTGTGCGTGTGTGCGTGCGTGTGTGTGCGTGCGTGCGTGCGTGCGTGCGTGTGTGTGTGCGTGCGCATGTGTGCGTGCGTGCGTGTGGTATATCTATAATTGTTATATGGCTACGAAACTCGCTCTCTTTTCTCTCTCTCTCTCTCTCTCTCTCTCTCTCTCTCTCTCTCTTTCTCTTTCTCTTTCTCTTTCTCTCTCTCTTCTGTCTTTCTCTCCCTCTCTAATTCTCGCTGTGTCTTTCTCCATATTTACATATAATATATATACATGTGTCTGTGTGTGTGTGCGTGTACATGTGAGCATGTGCAGGCATGTATTTCAATAACTCCAATCATTTCGTACTTGACCAAAACATCGTGCAATTGTTTATGAATCGAATATAAGATGTGTATTTTTCTGTTTGTCCATGCTCACAGCTCTGGTTAACAAAGGCAATGTGCTGTACATGCAAGGTGATGTGGAGAAAGCACTGGAGTTCTACAATGATGCACTGAACAATGAGGCATCCTGTGTGGAGGCTCTCTACAACCTAGGTATAAACTCTCCTGATTCTATTTACACGAAATAGAACTAAGTTTCCCAAAACACAGGCACACATTCATTTAATAGTTTGTGTAATGTACCATATCGTTATACGTATCAGTAAGTATCGTATTGTGGACTATAGGCGTATCATTACATTCCTAACTTGTATATGTATGTGTGTGCGTGCGTGCGTGCGTGCGTGTGTGTGGTATATCTATAATTGTTATATGGCTACGAAAACTACCACATATTAATTGGTCAGTAGCATGTTACATGACGAAATAAACCAATATTGCCCACTGCAAATCAATTTTGCCCACTGAGCGGTGCTGCTACCTAGCATGAACACTGTTTCTCACCAGAGAGTAAGATGTATGTACGTTTCAGGTTTGGTGTACAAGAAGCTGTCTCGAAAGGAAGAATCCATGGACTGCTTCTACAAACTACATGCGATCCTACGCAACCATCCGGAAGTTATGTTCCAGATAGCGAAACTGTATCTTTTGAAATGTTGTCACATTGTGCTATTCTAAACAAACTGAAATTGATTGTTCAAAATAATTATTTAGAAAAGATTTAGTACTGCATACCAAATTGCAGACTAAGATTGGCTCTTGTCAGGTGGTTATTACATCTTTCCATGACTAGTGATGCATCTATCTATCGAAATATCTGTTGGTACATCTATCTACTGATTCGATCATGTGCCTACCTGGGCCTCCATATGTCTAATTATCCAGCCATTCTGCTTTTTGTTTGACTACTTTCCTTTGTAACTGTTAAATGGTATTGACTGTTTGGGTGCAGCTATGAACAACTTGATGATCCAGACCAAGCCATGGAATGGTAAGCTATTTTTTCCAAAAACGTATATAAACAATTATAATTCATTGTGAAATTAATCACAAACTGTGGCAGGGACAATTAAGTATGATGATGTTTGTGTTATCAGGTATATGCAGCTAGTAGGAGTGGTTCCCAGCGATCCAACCGTGCTGAAAACAATGGGAGAACTGTGTGATTACATCGGTGACAAATCTCAAGCCTACCAATATCATTATGATGTTAGTATCATTCCTTCCTTCATTACATCGAAAATCGCTGTGACCACAATATGTAATGGACTAACGATGACGAAAATGAAAGACGATGAAATTTGTATGTGGTATATTACTTATTTATTATCATGCTTCTATGTTGGCATGCATGTGTTATCGTTGATGCCTCCCCCAGCTTCACCCACAGATCTGCTATATCCGAGAAACCAATCATTATAGTGCCATCTGAGCTCAGTATAACATCACAAGTCATCATTATACGTTTAGCTTTTGTCCGTAGAGTGACGTTGGTATGAAGAAGCAATTGCAATGTGAATAGCAGATTAATATCTTGCACATGACTACTATATAAGCATTGGACAAATCCTGACGATGAACAATTGTGTGTGTTTTGCAGTCGTATAGGTATATGCCTTCGAACATGGAGGTGGTCGAGTGGCTGGGAGCATACTTCGTTGACTCGCAATTTCCGGAGAAAGCAATTCATTACTTTGAGAGGGCGGCCCTAGTGCAGTATGTATCAACATCTTGTCATCATTATCATTATGATTCTACATTTCATCTACTTGTGGATGCATGTTTTAGGTTTATAAAAGGTGTCTAATTGCTTAATATCAATGATAAATCATAGCAAATCGTTTCATATGTGCAATATTTTTTATTATACATATATATATATACTGTGTACGATATATATTACATATTTTTTAATGTATATTCAACATAACTCTGTATGTATTTGCCATAAAACTAACTGCTTATACATACTACTTGCATTATCCTACTTAATTCTAGATGTGCTAGTAATGACAGAAAAACATTCTATGCTATACGACATGACATATTATAAAAACATTTATATATCTAGAAATGTGTGATAACCAAAGCATGTAGTAGATGTAACATGGCATGCAACGATTGTAACGTTACTTCTCAAGCGCGTGTGTCCCAGGGTTGACCGTTGTGTCAGACTGCATGGATGCTGGCATTGTTTGCTGTGTAAGTCTATTAAGTCTATAAGTGTGAATAACCTCTGTGCTTGAAGCTGGGTCGCTGTAGACGGAGGCTGTTGGGCTCAGATGGACTTTTCAACTGTGGTGCTGGACTTGTTGTACTTTCCAAAACAGCTGTCGTTGATTGTGGTGGTGCTGTTTTCGGTAAAGGTGCTGGACGTGGGTGGGGGTGGGTGTAGCCCCTATGCTTGAAACTTGGTTTCTGATTCACAAGTCTGTTGTAATTTAATGGATTTTTATCATTTGGTTGTGGTGATGCTGCTGTTGTCTGAAGTGGTGGTCCCACTGTTGTTTTAGTTGTTACTGTTAGTGGTACATATGTGTGAAGGTGGGTGTAGCCCCTATGCTTGAAACTTGGTTTTTGATTGACGAGTATGTTGTAATTCGATGGATTTCTATCGGTAAGTGGTACTGAAACTGTTGGTGGTGATGTTGGTAAATCTGTCGGATGTATTGTTGTTGATGGTGCTGTTGTTGCTAGTGCTATTGGTTTTGATCTTGGTATTGGTAGGTTAGGGTGGGTGTAGCCCCGATGTTTGAAACTTGGTTGCTGGTTGACAAGTATGTGGTAATTCAATGAATCTCCGTCATTTAGTGCTGCTGCTGTTGTTGTTAGGGGCGGTGGTGGTGCTGTTGTTGATGTTAGTGGTACGTCTGTGTGGAGGTGGGTGTAACCTCTTTGTTTGAAACTTGGCTTTTGTTGAACGAGTATGTTATACTCAAGCGGGTTGACAACTTGTGCTGCATTTGTGTGCGTTTCGGTTGATCGTTGAGATGTTGTTGCTGCTACTGTTGTTATCGGAAGTAATGTTATAACAGGTTGTGTGGCAGGTGGAAGAGTCTCTACTGGAGTTGCTACCGGGAGCAATGCTTCTTGTAGTCTTGCGTATCCTCTGTGCTTATTGCTTAGCTGTTGATTGCCAAGAAAGTTCGATTCTGTGAGTGGACCCCTCGTGCGTGCGTCCTCATGATCAGTAGTGTCTCGTGGTCCTTTAGCATAGGCAGACAGTAGCTGCAGGTCAGATTGGCTCTCTGCTTCACCATAAGCTGTCCGTATTTGCCCAATGACTGATGAGGCATGGGAAGTGTCGTCCACAAGCACCTAAAACACGACATTGGGGAAGAAAATATCTTGAATACGGAGCCGAAATTATTCAGGAAAACCTTTGTTATTCTTCCCTCCCCCATCTCTTCTCTTTCTTACTCTCTCTCTCTCTCTCTCCCTCTGTTTGTCTCTCTTCCCTTCTTGCCCCCTCTCTCTTTCTGTCTGGCTGATTTATCAAGGGTTTTACTAAATAGTTCTATGAGTAAAAGTCTTAAGAGAGATTAGATGAGGCCCAATTAGCCACTTATGTTAAGCAGCCACATGCTTGTCCATCTTGCAGTTTTGCTGGTCTATGGAATACACGACATACAAAGTACACGGCTGAATTCGTTGTATGTTGGCTTCTAATAAACCCTTGTTGTGTATAATTTGAGTTATGGGCACTTACCAGAATGGTGGTCGCCAGTAGCACGAGTGTGCGCATTTTCAGTCTACGTGTGTACGAGCACTCTGTGTATGCAGTCAATAGTGTCACTTCCTACGAATTTCGTAAAGTATCGCTTGATCTCTGTAAAGTAATAATCACATATATTGTTGTGGCGTCGAAGTATAGCCAATATTATGGTTCAGCGAGCGTCATATTGAATTTGCAATGATTGTAATCTTATTCCTTCTGTTGCAGTATAGCGACAAACTGCTTCTTTTATTGGCAAACCGGAGCCCGTTGTCAGAAACAAAATTAGTCTTAACATTAGTCTTAGTATCCATCTAACTTTTTCTCGTAGACCGTTGACAGAAACGTGGTCAAATTTTTCATATGCAGTGTATAGGACTCTGGTGCGGCCTGGGATAAAGAGTTATTTACAGAGAGAAAGTTAATGTTTAGAATAATTTTGTTTCTGACAACGGTTCGCTGGTGATTAAATACATGTATGGTCTTCCTCCTTCAGTTTATAGCAAATATTTGATTTCCACAGATACAACTTGGTAGCGAAAAATTCTATTAGTGGGTAGAATGAAACAACCTGATATTACCAGTGAAAAGTCACAATTTGATTAATCGCGTTTAACGAGAGATAATTCAATGGCTAGACTTACCCTGATTCCACAGTTGGTCTATCTAGCGTAATCCCCAAGACGTCTCTTTCACTTATTGCTGTCCGCTGCTAAACGCCTTGTCTTTTCTTGGACTCGGTGTCCAAGCAATGACCGACTTGGTGTCGCGGCAATGCAGGCGACGAAAGGTTTGTGACGCGCTGACGATCCATGGCATTAGTTGTATAGTGACCAGACGTGGTGACCTTCACATCGCAACCTTCACAACGTGATGCGCTCTGTCACACGCTTTGTCACGCGCGCTGCGTATACATGTGTCGTTCGTAGCTGATTGTGTCGCGCTGTCCGGCATGGGTAGTATAGAAGGTTGTAGAGACGAGCAGGGCAGGATGGAATTCGTTATAATTAGACGTTGAGCTCATTAACCTCTCGTTAACCTGCTCCGTCCTCCCCCCCCCGCGCGCGTGCCACAGGTTGCGCGATGCGAACCGAGTTTGGGGTTTACGCACCGCGCACACAGCGGCTGTTTTCTGACGCTGTCGACAGGTGTACAGGACTGCAGCTGGTGTATGTCTGGTAGAATCCTCGTGGGGTATTGTTGTGTCGAGAGTGAAAGCTGTAGGAATGTAGGGGTCGTCAGTGAAAGTACGAGCATGCGCGTGTTCGTACCTTGCTTTAGCACGACGCGGCTGCGAAACTCAGCACCTATACACACGACTTGCAATAAATACGCGACCTTTTCGTGGAAAACGTTCGTAGACAGACGTGCTGTAATTGTGGACTGTTATATTTTAATCTTCTGTGGTACAAAAAACCACTACTAGATCATTAGAAAAAGTTTGCCATCAGTGTAAACCGAGGGGTGATTTTTCGTGCGTTTTCATTTGGTAGTTATTACCATCGTGCGTTTTCATTTGGTAGTTATTATATCACATGATAGCTGCATATGATTTTTTTTTTTTTACATGCTCTCAATACTGCATTTAACACTTCTTAACCTTTTACCTAATGATTAGTCTTCGTTTAGATGATTAGACAAATGTAAAACTTTGACTTTGTATGAATGGCGTATTATATAATTATCGGTATCGCACAGCAATGCGTCCATGGAATGTGACCCACAACATTATTGTTTACTTTAATGTGATCAATTTTAAGTGAAACAATTACACACTAGGCAAATACGCCTTACTATCTTATGTTGACTTGGCATGCGTGCCATGCTGTAAGTCTCAGCAGAATAGTTATACTGTGCACTGCGACCATAAAACCAAACATAGTGAGATGTTGCTAGAGTTGTGGCAAGGGTAACGAGTTAGGGAAACCGCTATGACCAATAATGGGAACCTCGCCCCAAGCCACCTCACTGCAAGATTGTGACTGTGAACAGTCTTTGTGCATAGCATTTATGCCGCTGAAACAATGCATTGGCGAGTTGTAGAATGCTAGGAATTCTGTGTGTGAGTAGCAATGCTACTAGTTTTCTCCAATCTCTCAATTGCCACCACCCCTCCATTACCGCCACAACCTTCACAGAAGTTTATGGATGAAATCTACAGGTCACCAGTTTAGTCGTATGTGTCCGTGCCTGCGTTCGTGTGTGCGTGCACATGCATGTTTGTGTGTGCGTGCGTACGCGTGTGTTTGCGTGCGTGCGTGCGTGCGTGTGTGTACGTATGCGTGCGCGTGCGTGCACCTGTGGGTGTGCGCGTGCGTGCACCTGTGGGTGTGCGTGCGCGTGTGTGTGTGTGTTGTGTGTGCGTGTGTGTGTGAGTATGCATGCATGAATGCAATATGATGTAACTATTGCAGACCCAGCCAGGTGAAGTGGCGTTTGATGGTGGCCAGCTGTCATCGCCGCAGTGGAAACTACCAGCAGGCATTCAACACCTACAAGCTGATCCACAAGAAATTCCCAGACAATGTGGAGTGTGAGTAAATGATGCGTCCTCTCTCCAGCTAGCATTTGACTGGCAGTGTCGTTTCAGGATTTCTTTGTGGTGCCAGGAGTGGAATATCTTTGCTAATGATTACAAGTAGTTCACACACGTGCTTACAATTATTGCGTGGTAAAGCTGGATACAATGATGCAGTACAGAGAAGTGCAGAATATTCGTGCATACGTAGATATATAATATTGGTTATTATAGGATATCTGAGAGCTCTCATTGTGTTTTCAGGCCTGAAGTTCCTCGTCAGACTCTGTACGGACATGGGCTTAAAGGAGACTCAGGAGTATGCCAACAAGCTGAAGAAAGCAGAGAAGGCAAAGGAGTTGAGAGATCAGGCAAGTGTGAGGTCACCATGGAAGCAGCACCTTGCCTTAGTATCACTGCGCGCATCCAGTGACTTAATATATCTTCAGTAGGGTGTGAGGTCTCTTGTGACCTGCATGTTTATAAAATATCTTAAGTTTGCCTTTACTCGTTGGTTTGCAGATAATGAACAAAAACTGCTATTATCTAGCAGTAAATAATTCCACTTAGTATCAATGTGCGCATCTCGTGACTTAATATGTCTTCAGTAGGGTGTAATGTCTCATGTCCTACATGTTTATAAAATATCAAAAGTTTGCCTTTACACATCTATTTGTAGATATTACACAAAAACTGCGATTATCTAGCAGTGAATAATTCCATTGCGAGATAAATTCATCATATTTACTGATGCCGCACTTTTGACAGCTGATGTGCTGTCTCTGCTCAGCCATATACTCATTGTGTAAAGGTAATGTTGGTCAAACTTTAATAGTTGCCTTTGACTCGCTACAGAGGATCAGCAGTGGCAGACGTCCTGGAAGCAGTCGCGGTTCACGCATCAGCTCAGCCGAGAGCGGTGGGTTTTCCACGTTATCTCTTATCAAAGAGATCGATTTATAGCTGTCTCTATAAACATCGATATCTATTCGTTATGACTGAAAGAAATATCCCGCAAATTTCTACTAATTACATATTGTATACTGATTAAATTACTCGGTATGTAGCAATCACGGATCTGTTGTGTGTGGTGCGATCGTTAACAATGTTTTGACATTCTGTTGCTGCGTTTACAGAGCGTTCGTCTGCGTCTGGAAACGCGTCCCGCTCGCGGCCCCTCAGCACAGAGAAGGCAAAGGTTGATCTCTCCAGCGCTGGCCCATACGAGTACAGCAAGCATCTAGATGTTGGTGAGTTACCTTGAAGCCAGCTGATCTTGTGAGCGTGCCTCCAGCTATCGAGACACTCGATGGTTTTTGTCACTCCTGACAGTGACCAGCCACTTTTTCTATCACCATCACCAGAGATAGTATCAAACATGGCGGATGTTGTCGAGTCGCCAACAATAAGCTCTCATTGGAGGAGCAGACACATTAGACGACAATTTTAAAATGGTTGCCGGACGCTGCAACATTCTGTGGAAATCATCTAGTGTGTCAGTAGATTTAGAGAAGAAGTGTTTCCACTTGCACATGTATCCTACCTACTGGATTCGTTCCCCAGTTCCCGGTCATTTTCAAAATAGAAAAAGATCTAGAGTAACTCGAATGGCCCTGCCTACTGTAAAAGGTTGGGTTACAATTCGTGGAAATTGGATCAAATTACAAATAGTCTGGGCGAAGTGATGCGATTCCAGAACACACCTCTAAGCTTGCTAACATGCTATCTACATTGCGGTAGTTGTGCATGCAATGTTAATATGTGTGTTTTGAAGAGACACCTCAATGCTAGAGTAGCAGCTATTGCCATGTATCGATATATTGCTAGTCGTGAAAGTGTAATGCCATGATGGAATGGAACAAAGCATTCTCATTCTGTTAATCGCTGTGGCTTTGCAGATGTCAGTTACAAGGATCCACTGGGGCCGCAAATGGAAAGACCAAGGACATCAGCGAGGAGGAAGGAGGAGAAGGAGGAGGACTTTGCCGATGAGGAATTGGGAGATGATCTGCTGCCGGAGTAAGCAGTATGCGGGAGAGATACCAGATGATCTGCTGCCGGAGTAAGCAGTATGCGGGAGAGATACCAGATGATCTGCTGCCGGAGTAAGCAGTATGCGGGAGAGATACCAGATGATCTGCTGCCGGAGTAAGCAGTATGCGGGAGAGA